ATGTTTTTTTAAGGTCAAGTGCCATTGCCCGGTATATATTTGCCCGATACTCCAAACACTGATGTTTCTTCTAATCTATCGTCAGTAAGTATTAAAATATAGAATAAATATAAATATATCAAATAAATATAATAATATTAACGAATAAATTAATATAAAATGGGATATAACAAATATTTCTGACATTCACCAAAGCGACTGTGTGATTGTTGACATTAACCGATGAATGTCGACATTCTCCAGATTTCGGTGCTTCACCGTATCATATATAGTGCTTAAAAATATTTGAGTGCTTAAAAAGTACTTAAAAGGAGCTTATTTTTTGTTGAAAGATTTGGCTACCTACCCTGTATAATTTAATAATTTTTTTATATTGTTTATCTTTATTCAATCTGTATTCTTGACTTTTACGGGACTATAATGGAACACACGCTATGTTTCGTAAAATGATCAATGCTTAGAAGGGCGTGCATGATGATACTTACTATTTTCAACTCTTTCTTCATTTTGCGCGTGATGTCAACGCTCTTCTTTCTGAGTCTTTTCAAGGCGAGCATCCGACCTTTATAAATGCCGACAGTGGTGTAAATATTTGTGTAGCGGAAATCAGCTTCTGTGTTGGAACTCAGGGATACCTGGCTAGTTCGCATCATGGGTTGCAGACTCTGTCAATTGAAAAAAAACTTTCATCAATTATTGCATTTATTTCAACAGCGCAATACCAACTCGTTCATTGCGCGATCTTTGATTCAACGATAAGAATTAAGGGCTTAACGAAAAAAAAATGGCTTATTGTTAATCAGTCTGTAAAATTCTGCTGTTTAAACATAAGTTGGATCGGCATCCAGCTTGCACTCACTCCAGTGTTCTTTTATTTTATAATATAACCGTCGTTGAACAGCCGACCCAATTTTTGGGTTTACGACAACCAATGTTCAACTCCGTAGCCTTGTAATTTTGAACCCAATTCAGAAGACACGAGAACTCCTGGATCAAGTATTGGGAGAAATTTGCCTTTGTGGAGGACTTTATGATGGAACTAACCCGCATTTGAGTTGCATGGAGAGGAAGACCACGTGAACCTCCCACGGTTAGCCTGACGGCAAGGGGACTCTAACCCATGATCCATCTACCACTGAGGATATTTCACGTCAGCACTGTGGTCGGTGCAATCCAGATGCGGAATTTCGTATCGACCAGCCATCGCCAGAATCGAACCCGGTTCACCTAATTGGAAAGTGAACGCTCTATTCCCTGAGCCATCGCGGCTCTGACTCTAGTGTTGACGTAAAATATCCTCAGTGGTAGATGGATAGTGGGTTAGAGTTTTCATGGATTCCTTCTTCATGTAACGCTAATGCGGATTGGATCCATCAAAAAAGTTTTCCACGAAGGCAAATTTTTCCCCAATAATTGATTCAGGAGTTTTCTTGTCTTCTGGATTGGGTTCAAAATTACAACGCTCCGGAGTTGAACATCAGTAGTCGTAAACCCAAAAAATTGGGTCGTCTGTTCAACGATAGTTATTAAATTTCCACATAAGAGCCGGGGTGGCTCAGGGGACAGAGCGTTCGCCTTCCAATGAGGTGAACCGAGTTCGAATCATAGCGATGGCTGGTCGATACGAATTCCGGACCCGGCTCACACCGACTACAGTGCTGATGTAAAATATCCTCAGTGTTAGACGGATCATAGGTTGGAGTACCCTTGCTGTCTAGCTAACCGTTGGAGGTTTTCGTGATTTTCTTCTCCATGTAAAATAAATGCGGGTTAGTTCCATCAAAAAGTCCTCCACGAAGAGCAGTTTCTTCCAATATATGATTTAGGAGTTCTGGATTGGGTTTAAAATCACAAGGCTACGGAGTTGAACCTGATTAGTCGTAAATCCAAGTAATTGGGTCGGCTGTTCAACGACGGTTATAAAAAAAAAAGAAAGAAATATATAACTTGGAGTTAACGAGGATAATTTTTCAAAGACTTCTAGAAAATTATTTTATTGAAGATGTTTAAAACAATATCTGAAGGCTCGTGAAAATATTTTACCATTTGAAATGTTTTTTTTTTCAAATATTTCTTTAGCTCAATTTTTTACTGAAAATTGTAGTAATATGAGCCATCAAAACAGTGTTATCTGACCTGTCATAAATCACACGAGCAGTTAAAACCACACAGCTATAGTGAAAATTGTAGGTAAGAAATTGTGTTTCGTGATTCCAATAACTAACCAAAAATTTTGATATACAAACCATTGAATAGCTTCCAATCTCTTTCTGTTGCTTATGAATTTGCGTATATGTTTCTAACTATTTGTTTGTAAAAAAAAAATCTGACTGCGATGAGTAAGATACAATGAAACCACATCCAAAGATGCGGAGTTTGTTAAAATTGCAAACGTTTCTGGAAGTCATAAGCTAGTTATGTATTAGCTGGCTATGTATAAGCTAGTTCTGTATAAGCTAGTTATGTTTTAGCTGGCTATGTATAAGCTAGTTATGTATACGCTAGTTATGTATTAGCTAGTTAGTCATAGTTCACGGCATGTGTGTTGTACAGTGAGCACCCTGAATAACTTTTTATCTAAAGTTCGGATTTTAACCAAAGACCACCCTAAAAGTATATTTTTAAAATCTTCATCAAGAAAGAAAAATGAAAATTAAAAAGTGTACTCGTTAGAAGTCACAAATTAAAATATCAGTTATTAATTAGCACATTTAAGGTTAGAACCTCAAACCATTAGGATTGAGTATAGGTATGTGAAAATCCGGTCATTCGATAAAAAGTTATGTTTCTTATTTTGTGCTGCGCCTTGTATGTCAAATAATTACTGAGGTTAAAATACTAAGTTCCGTCATAATAAGCTCTCTTACACGTTATCGTATTTACAGTGTAAGAAAACAAACGCACTCTTACACGTTATCGTATTTCCAGTGTAAGAAAACAAACGCATTCTTACACGTAATCGTATTCCGTTGTAAGAAAACAAACGCACTCTTGCACGTTGCCGTATTTCGTTGTAAGAAAACCAACGCACTCTTACACGTTATCGTATTCCAGTGTTAGAAAACAAACGAAAGGTAATTCAGTTTGAAGTATTTTTTTAGTTCATCAGTTGGTTATTTTTGATAAATTTTTACCGACTAGGATTCAACAAGAACCCTTATTTAGCGAGGGTCTCTCTATTTCACCGTTATTAACGGAATCAACTAATNCTTGCACGTTACCGTATTCCGTTGTAAGAAAACAAACGCACTCTTGCACGTTACCGTATTCCGTTGTAAGAAAACAAACGAAAGGTAATACAGTTTGAAGTATTTTTTTAGTTCATCAGTTTGGTATTTTTGATAAATTTTTACCGACCCGGATTCAACGAGCACCCTTATTTAGTGAGGGTCTCTCTATTTTATCGTTATTAACGGAATCAACTAATTAAGAAATAAGTTTATGATTGCTTTTTATAAAACTTGCTATAAAAACTACACCGAAAATATACATTATTAAATTCAGTGCAAGAAGTTATTAATTCATATCCATAACACATTCATTATTGCACTTTTCAGCAATATTTTATAATTTTATGTAACGATTCATAATTAATTTAGAACTTAAACTTAATTCTAATGATTATACCAAAAACAAAATTGTAATGAATTCAATAAAGAAAATATTTCATCGTTAATTTTAACCTTAATCCATTCATTATTCGACATTTTTTGGTGATTCATGGCTGACTTACTGTAATAGTTCTTCATTAAAGACACAATATTTAGACATTTCAACAGCATTTTGAATCTTTACTTCAATACACGATATGCTGAAAGCATAACTTCAGGAATTATAATAATAATAATGAATGTTCATTATTTATTAATGATTGGAAATACAGTTGCAATAGGAATGAGATCTTACCCTTGCAATTCTCCCGAGTGTTGCAGTGGGTGTGAAATCATTTATCTGAATTTCTTTATAATCAATCTTCCAGATGAGACTGTCGAGCTCCTGTTCATAAGCCCAATTCCTGAAACGTGAGAGACAAAATTCTTTACGAATGAAAATAATTGATTAGGAACAGAGTTTACTTTAAGATAACGACCATAATGATCTGCTCCATTAGCGCCCATAATTATGTTTAAGTCGTTTATAATAAGCGCTGCTGACCCCTCCGATGACCAATCATTATTATGGACTTACAGTGATGGACTGTTCAACATTTTCATTCTAAGAAGGCTAGCATAATTTTATTTATTCATTTATTTACTTCTTGAGGTGACTGGTTTCATAATCATTTATTCCTTTTAAAAACCGAAAAAAACAATTATTAAATTTTCGTTTTCTATCAATAATTGTGTTTTTAAAGTTTTTTCCTTATCTTAATTATGAATGCGATAATTGTGCTGAATTATGAATATGAAATTATTTTTATTTCTTTTAAGAACTGACCAAAATAAATAGAAAAATTTATTTAATTTTTCGGTTTTTAACAATAATTGTGTATTTAAAATTTTTTCTCCTTTTTTTAATTACGAATGTGGAAATTGTGCTAAATTATGAATGAGATTTTTTCTAATGCTGTTGTATTAAAATATTTTTGGGATTGAGATTGATTAGTGCTATTGAGATTGATTATTATGAGAATAGTGTTACCCCCAGTAGCAGGATTTACAAAGTCAATCTTCAGTTCATATTCATAAACTGAAATTTGTCTTTCTATTGTCCACGATTTTTTTTAAAAATTTCTTTAAGATTAATGTGTTTTCAAAGCGATAAATATGGAAAGTACACATAATCAATTTAAATTAATCACTATAAATTCAATTAAAGACATGAAAAATTGATAAATATGGAGGAAAAAAAATAACATAATTTAGACATTTAACTTACTTGTAATACAACTAAAATTCCGAAGAGAAGTGCCAAAATCATTTAACTTACTTGTATACAACTAAAATTCCGAACAGAAGTGCCAAAATCAATCCTCCGGTCACACCTATAGCAAGCTTCCACACTAAATAAAGGAACCAACAATATTTAATATTTTTTTAGGAATAGATATTATAACAAACTGATACATTTTCATTCACGATTTTTATTTAAAAAAAAACTAGTTAATGTATTATAAATGATTTTCTATCATTAGTTTTTTCCGGTCACGTGACTCAGGCCGGCAAAAATCTAATGATAGGGCGTTCGCCTTTCAATGAGGTGTACCGGGTTCGATGGCTGGTTGATACGAATCTGCATCTGGCTTGCACCGACCACAGTGCTGACGTGAAATATCCTCAGTGGTAGACGGATCATGGGTTGGAGTCCCTTTGCCATCAGGCTAAACCGTGGGAGGTACTCGTGGTCTTCCTCCCCATGTAATGCAAATGCGGGTTAGTTCCATCAAAAAGTCCTCCACGAAGGCATTTTTTCTCCCAATACTTGATACAGGAGTTCTCTTGTCTTCTGGATTGGGTTCAAAATTACAAGGCTACGGAGTTGAACATTAGTAGTCTTAAACCCAAAAATTGGGTCGGCTATTCAACGACGGTTATAAAATTAAAAATAAAATAAAATTAGATTTTAAAATTTTTTTTTCCTTCTCCGAATTTTTTTCATGCAGAATAATTACAAATATGGTTATACAGTATGCTGCTATGATATTTCTTAACTAGTTTATTAAAAAAATAATTGTTTTGTAATGTGTAAAAAAATAAAAGGATAAACTTCCGAATAACTTTTAACATTATTGGATTTTAAAATATTTACTTGTGATTTTCAACTTTTAACGGCCCCAAATGTCGTAAGTAAAATTAATGAAATCAGTCCGTAGTGTATAAGTTGCAAGTTGATAATATAAGTTTTTTTAAGTATTGAGATGCAATTTTCAGGTTTTGACGGACCAACAATCATACATTTAATTTTATTACCATCGTTGAACAACCGACCCAATTTTAACTATCATATATTTTAATTGATGTATGATAATATCTCTGATCTTAAAAAAAATCAATAAAAGTTACTGCCAACCATCACCATTGTTTTAAAAAACTTTCGAAAGCGTCACTGTTATAATTCACAAACTATTAGATGAAATAATATGAAATGTTGTACATTGCATATAATACAAATGTTCAAGAAAGATTCTCATAACAAAGTATTATTAATGCAGTTATTACTTTTACAGTTATTTTATGTCAAATTTGAAAATTTTTTGCACGGAGTTATTTAGTTTAGTAAATGCTATTAGTAATTATTGCAACCCTTACATCTGCGAATGAGAAATTCGTCATCTCTAGTTTAAATTTCGAATTAGTTAGGATATAATTAAACAGTTTATAATGGCAGTTTTTCAGATTTTTTGAAGAAAAAGAAAAATTAATCTCAGAAAGATCATACATTTTTGCATCAACGTTCTCATCTGGCTAAAGATAAAGGAAAACATTTTCTTTCAATATTTCGAATTTATTACGTAGTTATTAAGTTTTCAATTTTTGATGTTTTTTCTTTCTTAAATAGTAATTCTATTAGGTAAACAAAAAGTCTCTTTTTTCTTGTCTTTCGGGCAGTTCCAAAAGCAAAAATTCACCTTCCACAATAAATAAATAAAAAATCGGGATTTATTTTTTAAGGGACACAAAACTAAAATAGAGAGGGCTATGCCTTCTACTTACTTGGTCGCCTTCTTTACCCTTCTTACTTGGCGGCGAGTGTATGTGATGTCAGATCATCTTCCTCCTTTCGAAGTTTTCATTAATTTGCAGTAAATTATTTTTAAATTTATGTCTTTACTAATCAAAATTTCTAAACATACATACGTTATTTAAAATGTTATTTTCTTTCACGTTGAATTCGAAGCTTTAATCGTATATTTACTGACAGGCACTTTTAAAAATTTTCTATTTCCATTAGCGTGCGAATGTTTTAATTTCATAACAGGTGGAGATGAATATCAATTGTTTTAGAAACTAGCATTAAATATTGTCATCGGAATGTTTATTATTTTAATTTGAGAATCTATACTTTATTTGAATAAAAATATATTTTTAAATCCGTTTTAGTAATTTTAAATATCCTCTTATCATTTAAATAAGCATATTTATGTTAATCCAAAGGTATAGAAATTTCGTTTTTCTGATATCTGTTTTTCATCTTTTCATTGCGACATTTTAGTGTGGTATACTCGTTTTGAAATAAGAATTTTTACGGGTCAGTAGTTGAACTCTGCATATCCATGAATCCACTTTTATCGAGAAAAAAATTTTCCTATCATAAATCACAATTAAACTGGAACTCATACAATTTTAAAATTTTTTATAAAACGAAATTACATTAGATGGAAGTAGGAAAACGAGCAATGACGTAAAAATTAGTACAACAACAGCAATCAAATTACTGTTGATGAATGAAATTGCAAAGATCTGTCCATAAAATTAGGGTAATTTCACATTCATTTTTTGTCAAACAAATTCACTGGTGAATTTGTTTCACAACTTGACTTTGTCAAACTATTTTGACTGGTGACGTGTTAACTCGTCTTTTCATGCCCAAATTTAGTGAAGCTTGTAAAGAATGTTTNTTTTTTAAAGTTTTTTCTCCTTATTTTAATTACGAATATGGAAATTGTGCTAAATTATGAATGAGAAATTTTTTCTAATGCTGTTATTTTGAAATATTTTTGGGATTGAGATTGATTAGTGCTATTTAGATTGATTATTATGATTATTATCTTATCTTATAAAGTTCATTATTGATTATTATCTTATAAAGTTCATATTCATAAATTCAAATTTGTTTGTCGAATCTGCCAAATATGTCTTTCTATTGTCCATGAATTTTTAAAAAAAATTCTTTAAGATTAATGTGTTTTCAAAACAATAAATATGGAAACTACGCATAATTTAAATTAATCCCTATAAATTCAATTACAGACATGAAAAATTTATAAATTTGGACAAAAAAAATTAACATAATTTAGACATTTAACTTACTTGTATACAACTAAAATTCCGAACAGAAGTGCCAAAATCAATCCTCCGGTCACACCTATAGCAAGCTTCCACACTAAATAAAGGAACCAACAATATTTAATATTTCTTTGAGAATAGTTTTTATTACAAAATGATACATCTTCATTCATGATTTTTATTTAAAAAAAACTGGTTAAAGTATTATAAATGATTTTCTATCATTAGATTTTTTTCGGTCACGTGGCTCAGGCCGACAAAAATCTAATGATAGGGAGGTGAAATGAGGTGAAACCGGGTTCGAATAACAGCTATGGCTGGTTGATACGATTCTGCATCTGGCTTGCACCGACCACAGTGCTGACGTGAAATATCCTCAATGGTAGATGGATCACGGGTTGGAGTCCCTTTGCCATCAGGGTAAACCGTGGAAGGTTCTCGTGGTCTTCCTCTGCATGTAATGCAAATGTCGCATTTTTTCTCCCAATACCTGATACAAGAGTTCTCTTGTCTTCTGGATTGGGTTCAAAATTACTAGGCTGCGGAGTTGAACATTAGTAGTCGTAAACCCAAAAATTGGGTCAGCTGTTCAACGACTGTAAAAAATAGAATAAAATTAGATTTTTTTAAAAAAAAATATCCTTCTCCGAATTTTTTTCATGCAGAATAATTACACATATGGTTATACAGAATGTTGCAAGAATATTTCTTAACTAGTTTGTTAAAAAAAATAATTGTTTTGTAATGTGTCAAATAAAAAAAAGGATAATTAATATTATTGGATTTTAAAATATTTATATGTGATTTTCAGCGTTTGTAAATTAAATTAACGAATGCGGTAAAGTTAATGAATGCAGTAAAATTAATGAATGTAGTCCGTAGTATAAGGTGCAAGTTGATAATATAAGTTATTTTAAGTATTGAGATGTAAATTTCAGGTTTTGACGAGCCAACTATCATACATTTTATTTTATAACCGTCGTTAAACAGCCGTCCCAATTTTAACTATCATATATTTTAATTGATATATGATAATATCTCTCATCTTAGAAAAAAATTAATAAAAGTTACTGCCAACCATCACCATTGTTTTAAAAAATTTTCTCGAGCGTGCTTCTGTTATAATTCAAAAACTATAAATGAAATAATATGAAATGTTTTTAGCAAATGTTCAAAAAATATTCTCATAAAAAATCTTTATTAATGTAGTTATTACTTTTAGAGTTATTTTAGGTCAAATTTGAAATTTTTTTTGCTCCCGGTTTAAGTAATTACTATTAATAATTATTGCAACCCTTACATCTGTGAATGCAAAAATCGTCACACCTAGTTTAAATTTCGAATTAGTTATGGAATAATTAAACAGTTTAAATTGATATTTTTTCGGATTTTTTTGAAGTAAAAGAAAAATTAATCGTTTGAAGATTATAATTTTTTGCAGTCACGTACACTCATCTAAATGAAGATTTAAAAAAAAAAAAAAAAAAAAAAAAAAATTATTTTTTCTTCTTTCAAAATTTATAATTTATTACGTAGTTTTCAATTTTGATGTTTTTTTTTCCTTAAATAGTATTTTATTAGATAAACAAAAAACTTTTTTCTTCTTGTCTTTCGGGCAGTGCCAAAACCGAAAATTCGCCCTTCACAATAAATAAATAAAAAATCGGGATTTATTTTTATCAAGGACACAAAACTAAAATAGAGGGCTTTACTTTCTACTTGGTCGCCTTCTTTTCCCTTCTTACTTGGCGGCGAGTGTATGACCATCTTCCTCCTTTCGAAGTTTTCATTAATTTGCAGAGAATTATTTTTAAATTTATGTCTTTACTATTCAAAGTTTCTAAACATATATACGTTATTTAAAATGTTATTTTCTTTCAGGTTGAATTCGAAACTTTAATCGTGTATACTGACAGGCACTTTTAAAAATTTTCTATTTCCATTAGCGTGCGTATGTTTTAATTTTAGAACAGGTGGAGATGAATATCAATTGTTTTAGAAGCTAGCATTAAATATTGTCATCGAAATGTTTATTATTTTAATTTGAGAATCTATGCTTTATTTGAATAAAAATATATTTTTTATATCTGTTTTAGTAATTTTAAACATCCTCTTATCATTTAATAAGCATATTTATGTTAATCCAAAGGTAAAGAAATATCGTTTTTCTAATATCTGTTTTTCATCTTTTCATTGCGTCATTTTTGTGTGGTTACAAAACTCGTTTTGAAATAAGAATTTTTACGGGTCAGTAGTTGAGCTCTGCATACTCATGAATCCACATTTGTCGAAAAAAAAATTTTCCTAGTATAATTCACGATTAAACTGGAACTCATGCAATTTTAAAATATTTTATAAAACGAAATTACATTAGATGAAAGTAGGAAAACGAGCTGTGACGTAAAAATTAGTACAACAACAGCAATCAAATTACTGTTGATGAATGAAATTGCAAAGATCTGTCCATAAAATTAGGGTAATTTCACATTAATTTTTTTGTCAAACAAGTTCACTGGTGAATTTGTTTCACAACTTGACTTTGTCAAACAATTTTGACTGGTGACGTGTTAACTCGTCTTTTCATGCCCAAATTTAGTGAAGCTTGTAAAGAATGTTTTACTTTACTTCCATAACGTAATTTATGCGTAAAATTGTAGATCAACAAATTAATACTTTTCTTCCATGGCATAGTTTTCGTGTAAAATTGCCGGTCAACAAATTGTTAATACTTTACTTCCTTGACATTGTTTTGGTGTAAAATTGCCAGTCAACAAATTAATACTTTGCTTCCGTGACATAGTTTTCGTGTAAAATTGCCGGTCAACAAATTGTTAATACTTTACTTCCATGACATTGTTTTGGTGTAAAATTGCCAGTCAACAAATTACTAATATTTTACTTCCGTGACATAGTTTTTGTGTAAAATTGCCGGTCAGCGAATTGTTAATACTTTACTTCCATGACATTGTTTTGGTGTAAAATTGCCAGTCAACAAATTAATACTTTGCTTCCATGACATTGTTTTTTTGTAAAATTGCCGATCAACAAATTGCTAATATTTTACTTCCGTGACATAGTTTTCGTGTAAAATATTGCCGGTCAACAAATTGCTAATACTTTACTTCCATGACATAGTTTTGGTGTAAAATTGTCGGTCAACAAATTTTTAATATTGAAAATTTAGAATGTTTGCTGCTTTAAAAAAAAATGGTTTCTGTTCTTTTGCAATATGTGTGTATGTCTCTGACTTTCTTCCAATTGAAAATACATCCTAAATTAGTATTACTTTAATAAGAGAGCTTTTATTTTTCTTAAGTTGTCTTAAAATGAAATTATTGTCTAACTGTTTTGCTTATAAATAAAAATAGTTGCATAAAGAGAACTTACTGACACATTTTTCTCCTTGGAATCCACACGTGGGTTCATCATTGGGAGGATATCCGGAAACCCAATCGATTCTATCAGTGAACTTCAGAACCTGGTACAACGCATTTATGTAAGTTAAAACAAAATATTCTATTATTTGATTGATCAATAACTAAATGATATTGACAATACAATAAAAGGAACCAAGTGCAGTGAAACCTCTAAGAAAGACCACCTCCATTTACGACCGATTTTTGGATGCAAATTTTTTTTCCATAGACTTTGTGTTGANTTAAATTCTTGTAAATTCACGGCAAAAACTGAGGAAAGTCATAATAGAAAATAACAAATGTCTTAGAATATTTCGCAAAAAGAAATGATCCAATATTAGTTAGAGCTGTAAGGCCAAACGTTCCGTTCTTGAAGTAAAAGTGCGAGCTTCGCGCCAAAGTGACGTCACGAGAGAAAATCTGAGGATTGGCGCCGCGAGAGTTACTTCAAAGGAGTGAACCAGCCCTTCTATTCTCTTTAGCCCTGAGTGAAACCTCTAAGAAAGACCACCTCCATTTACGACCGATTTTGGAATGCACTGAATTTTTTCCGTAGACTGTGTGTTGAAAACCTTTAGGAGACACTGTTAGAAACTCTCCCAGCGACCGGGCAGCAAATAAACTACCTTTACATCTACAGAAACTAAAGAGAGAGAGTTTGAGCGTGCTGATTGGATTTCACGGCCACGCCTTCTGTGGCGTATAACTATTTCATTCTGCTATGCTTGTTATTTTAACCCTTTTAAAGGCCGTAAGAAGTATACTTACCACCACTTTTAATATAGGTTTCCATTTGTTAATTAATAACTTCAGCTTTCTTGAAGTGCGTTTGAATTAAATTGGTAACTATTTGTTAGTTTAAAAAAACGTATAAAAGTTATAAAATACATAATTCCTTTTCAAGTTTGTAGCATTTTCAAAATTTATTTTATAAATGAAAAAGAACAAAAATCAATAAGTTTCTGATAGGTAATGTTAAATATATTTACCACCAAAAAAATTGAATTTTTATAAAACAAATAAGTTTTTTTTCTTAAATCAATTACTGTTCTTAAAACAATTTCAATTCCAAAAATAAATGATAATAAACTTTAATTTACCTTTAACTAGAAATAAATGGCCCATTAAAGGGTTAAAAGCATAGAGCAATTTCTGTACTTCACCTTTTGATTTTCAAACTTGAATTGTCGGGTTTTTTTTTTGCCTGAGAAACTGCCTACTTTATTTAAAAATAGAATAGAAACTATTTCATCAAACATTATTACCCTTATAAGCTATGTTTAGAAGATTGCAACAAGTGGGTAAAGGAATTTGGGGAACTTACAAATACGAAATGGAATTCTAGAACTTTGAAACCTCAAGGAGAAAGATATGTTTGCTAATAAGTAACTCGTTTAGTTTTATGAAAAAAATTGTATTTAATTTTTCTGGGAACTGCTTTTTTCGTTAAATTTATGATTATCACATGAATAAATAATTATGAAACTAATATCACTAATTTATTAAATAACATTGAAGTCTGAGTTTAATTGACTTGCTCAATTCTTATATCCACTGTTTAAAAAAAACTCAATTGTTTTAAATTGATATTTATCGAAATGAATTAATGTTTATCGAATTAAATTAATATTTTATTTATTTCTTGTGGATTACTAAAATAAAAATTAATAAATTTTAAATTTAGCATTCATTAGTCTCGCCATCTAATTTTTTAAAACTACAAGTTCTGCATTATGCCTAAATACTTATAACTTATTTTTAATATTTTCTCTTGTTTGCTAAATGTTTTATAATACCGAAAAACTATTATTTGACATCTAAGAAATTGAACAATTGTATTTAAGAAGTTTATTTTATTCATTTTTGAGTCACAATTCTCATCAAAATCAAAAAGAATGATTTTGAATTATTCATTGAATTACAGTAATGAAAGAATAACTTTACAAAATGAGTAATGAAAGATTCTAGTACATTTCTATTGGATTGTAAAGATTTTTTTATTTATTTAATAGCGGGAAATTATTTGTTTGACACCACAGTGCGTTTATGAAACTGCCGCAGAAAAAAATTTAAAAAAAAAGTTTCTCAAAAAATTTTAATAACTTCTGTATAACTTTTTTTTATCAGTTTTGTTAATTTTAAGCAGATTTATTCACCACGTGGCGCATAAATAAAGTATGAAAACTTAGAACTTAAAATTTGTTTCTACATTTAAATATTCATTCATTTCAAAAACAGTTTTTGAAACAATAGGAATTAAACTAAGCTTTATGTCTTAAATTCTATTCCTATCCTTTTATTTTATATATTTATTCATTTACAAAGTTAAACTTTCCTAATATTCAATTATTTGATTTCGATTTTTTGACAGAAGATAGAAGTGCTTTGAGGAGTGGAAATGGAAAATTTATAAAATAATAATGCTAATTTGTAAAATAATAATACTCTCCTATTTTAGAATACTTATAGTTTCTTGTAACGTGTTATACTTATTTTAACTTGTAAACTTGTTACATGGTTACTCTTTAGAAAATAAGTTTTATTAATTTTAAAATGTTCAAGTTTTTTTGCTGAATTATAATTACATTTTTAAACATTTTAGAATATTATCTCCTAAGGTATGATAAAATCTTTTTCAAATAATCAGAAATAGTTTTACAGTAATATATAATCACATTTTGATATCTTTCATAATAAATTCAAACTGAACTGAATGATTCTACAGTTATACTTTATTTATTTCAGTAAGAGATTTTAATTTCTAAGTGCCTACGGAGATTCACAATACTATTCAATTTAAATATTAATCAATGTTTATATTTATTACATGAAAGCAAGCTAATAAAGCTTTAATTTATGTTTAATAGTTATTATTGTACTAATTTGATGTTTTACCAAAACATAGTTGATTACCTTGCATTTACCTGAAATTTGTAACATTAATATTAAAAAATATTATACTGAAATCAACAAAAAATTATTTTAAACAATTAAAGAATAATATAAGAATAAATTTTAAAGCAAATTAGATTTAAATAAATGTGTTATTATTAAAAGACCATTCATGAGGCTATTTTATTTTTTGTACAAAACTTTAACATTTGCCTTAAAATTAGTATGAGAAATATACTGGAACTGATTTATGATTGATTTTCATTTTGTGAACAAATTAAGGAGAAATGATGTTGGGGAGGAGCTAAAAAAGACTCAGTAGAAGGCAATGCCAAGAAATCCAATCAGCGTGCTCAAGATTTCTCTTTAGTTTCTGTAGATGTAAAGGTAGTTTACATGCAACCGGGCAAACATTTGCACCAAATGCGAAAAGGTTCAAATAAGGAAACCCGAAAAAATATCAAAACAAGCAATTTAACAAAGCAAATAAGTAGATTAAAATGCATTCAAATTATTTGTGTGAGGCACTTGTTTAGAAAGCTCTTTTTAAAGGTACAACCTCATATTGCTGTCAGAGTGCACTAAAGAAGACGCTATCAATGATTTATTTTTAACGTTGAAAGTTAAATTAGAAAAAAAAATCTTATTTTATACAAAAAACAAGCATCTCAAACAAGCAAAACCTCTATTTATCATTCATAATTGATAAAATAGTTTTTACACATAATTATATAATTTGGGATCATTTTTATAGACGTTAAATTTTAATCATAGAGCCGTCTTTTCATGACGTCAACAGAAGTGACATTTTCGCTCCAAGAAAATGACACTGACTAAAATAAAATCATTAGCATAAAATCATGTATTTTCGATAAAAATTTTGAAGTCAATGGAGGTAACCTCTAAGAACGACCAGCCTCCACCAACAACCATTTTACTGTGGAACGGAGAATGGTAACTCCCAAAAGGTTTTACTGTATAAGTTAAGTCCAAAAAAATAACACAGTAATTTTACCTATCTTAATATATCCCGTATCTATCAGATTTGCTTCTGCTGTAGTCTTTTGTTCTCTCTTTCGGTTTAATTGCCAGAACATTTTAGCTTTACCTAAATACTAGGAGGCTTCGCCCCCTGCTCGCTCGCGCTCGCCAACCCCCGGAACTGCTTTCGCAGTTCATTTCGGATTGCTTCCCAATCCGATGCTCGCTCATTGGATACGTTCTTAACTTCTAGCTTTTGTATACTCTTTTGAGCACTGAAGTTCCGAAAACTTTTCACAGTTCACATATTTTTCTTAATCACACTATTCCAAATTTCAGTTTTTGCGAAAAGTAACCGTTGTAAGTTTTGTTTTAAAGTCTTTCCCACCAGAGGGCTAAAACCATGTGTTGTAAAACAATATGAAACAGTACTGAAAGCCGGATGTAAAGCATCGGCTTCGATGAAGATTATTTTGTGAGAATTTTTTTGATAATTCGGTGAGAATTCACCCGATTAGACATATGATGCTCACTACGTGCTCTTGCGCTCCGAAGCCTATCAATTAAAACGTATTAGCGTTTTATATAACATGGATTAGCCATATGATCCTCACTACGTGCTCTTGCGCGCCTAATCCAATCAATTAAAAATGAAAACTGTTGCCAGCGCGAGAAAAGAAATATCATCGGTTTTATTGATACATACGTACGTATTAGCGTTTTATATAATATAGATAGATTTGAATCATACATGTCATGTTGCAGTTAAAAAAACTAATGTATTACACTGTCCAACAAATGTTAAATTGATTTTTTATTTGCAATTAACAAATTAGTGTCAATGTAAATAAACGTGAAATATGTCTAATCATTTCAAGTTATGTTATTTGTTTCCGCGGACATCAGTTGTTGGGCCACATTTTTAGGTTAAATAAGCGTTTTTTTAACTATAGATAGACATACCGACACATTTAAAATTGATACTTAAATTCTAACTTAAAGCAAGCGCGCATCCAAAATTTGGTACTTGTACTCTAAGAAGAAAACGATAAACAATACTCACCCATGTGACCTATGACGTCAGCGCCAGCTAATCTTTGTCAGCAAAATGGCGTATTAAAGCTGAACTAAGTTTCTCTACATAACTTCGAATGAATACAGAGTCGTATCGAATTTGTTGAAATATAATTCTTTATCGTCTACAACTTTTACTTAACTTAGATTTATTATTTTTTTATGTATTTTATTGTAACCGTGATGTATATTTGTTTTGTGCACCTGGCAACTTCGATGCATAATTAATTTGTTTATGTTCATGGCTTCGTGCCTGTCTTTGAGTAAATATATAGTGAAAGAATGGAAATCTTTGTGAAAGTATATAGGCTGTGTCACTTAAGAGAATAGATACTTGACGGGCTTGGATTATTCGAAATAAAATGGAAAAAAGAGTTGCTGACGTAAACAAATGCCATGTTTCAACGACCAATAAGGATCGAGATACCCCTACTACGTCATTTGCAAGTATCCCATTGAAGATAATTTAGTAATTTTATAGTGAAAAAAGTTTTTGATAGCGAAATTTGTTATTTGCAGTTTATTACTATTGCTTTACGTTATTTAACTGACATAAGAAAAGAAAGGTATACATACTGGTACAGCGGATCTGTTTTCATGCAGTTGAAAAACACCAACTGGATAAAGACCATATCCACCATTGATGCCGGGTGCATGCTTCCTTGCGATTAAAGTGTAGTTGCCTTCTGCGTCCCCGTTTTCATCCATATAGACCATATAGCCCATTGCACCTATAAAGTTGTTATGTGTTTGAATTGTCTAGTGTTGTTTAGATCAATAACTTAGGACCCCAAAAAGATGATAGAGAATATGTTAAATCAAACTCACTCGTCTTTATAACGAAATTTGTGTCGAATTAACACAGATTCGCGTTGCACGTAGAGAAAAACCACGGAAACCTCTCATAGCTATGCCGGTTTCAAAAGAATTCTTACCCAAGATTTATCTATCACTGAGTAAGATAGATACTTAGTGATAGATAATCTTGGAGTTTCGGTAGATAGCGCAATGGTAGGTGCGAGTCGGGATCACGTAACGAATCAAAACCCAGATTCGTACCCATGACTAAACTCAATGCCTTAAGTTGATATATTAAAAGTTGATCATAATTTCCTTCTTATCAATTATTTCCATATTTATGATTTATTACATGATTCCCAATAAATATTAGATTTTAAACACTATTTCATCATTTATTACCATTAGTAGAAGTACCTTCCCCAAATTATTTCATTATTGCATTCCATTTATTATTACTTTTTACGTTATTTTTCTTCACTGGCAGTTATAGCACATTTAAAAATAACCTTTTTAGAAAATAGCGCTTAAAAAATTGTTATACTGAGATAAAACAGTTAATCCATTATTCACTGTATTTTAAGTTTTGTTCATTTAAATTTTAAATCTACTTCCACTGGTTTCAGTTTCGACAACAAAATAATGGCTATTATCTACTTTTACATGACTGACAGCTTTTAACGGATACAAAAATAATTTCTCCTAATTATATAGATAAACTCCAAGTCCGGCGGACATTTGATATCTTCTATCTTGTTGTTTGATTGATGATGGAAAACTAAAAAAAAATCTTTGCACAGAAATCTTAAAAAATGAATAAAAAGGAAATCTAACCACATGTTTGTTTGTTTTCAATCATGAACAGTCAAAATCGATCAATCTTGAGACAACAATCTGTTTGAAACCTTACAAAATCAGGATTTATCTTAAATAAAATGATGTTTTGCCAATATCTGTAGTTAATTTTCCAAGAACGAATATATAAATTTTGTGAGGTTTATCTTTTTAATTCTGTAATTGCAAAACACACTTAAAGAATTCAATAAATAACGATCCAGATTATATTTGACGCTGAATATTTCAAACCGTGCATAACAAAGATGGAAAGAAGTTGAATCAATATTGGATCCGTAGCTTTCTAAGATATTGAAGAAGAAAATTCTTATTTTCTTTACATAGCTAGCTCAGGAGAATCGAATACGTGATATGTACTTTATTCTAAAAAAAAATTTTAACAACTCTCGCCGAGCTCGAGTCGTAATTTTTACTTAAGTTTAGTTTATTATTAAAAGGAAACTTTCCTAATTTGCAGAAATGTGGGCTAAAGGAAAATGAAGTTGCATAAGATACAAGACACATACACTTGAAATACACGTCGAGCGCCATCTTATTAAAAACAGAAACCTTAGCTGCATAAATTACTACTACACTCCGCTATAAATACTTAATATTCAATTTCTCAGGAGCTGTTGGTCAGATTTCCTTCTAATTCTGTATACTGCCTTATAAAATTGTATTCTTTAAAATGAGGCAAAAATTTCGATACCTTACAACTCAAGAATTTTGTCGACTATTATTAAATAATTAATAAAATAATGAATAATTATTAAAAGTTAGTTTTTGCACGGTACTATCATTAAAAAAAAACAACGAATTGCATAATTTTGAGCAAATATTTTAGTTTTCGAGATACAGCGAAGTACGCAAAATTTTAAAATCAACATTAAAAGGTACAAACTTAACTTCGGTCCCCTCTCCTGACTAAACAATCAGGACCATATTTTCCAGATTGTGGCTAACCCTTATATTTTGAGGGTGTGGAATCAAAATCGGTATAAAACGTATGTTTATTCAGAAAAAGTATGTTTGTGTGTCTGATTTCATAACCAATAGTATCGTCTGCCCAAATCAATCAGCAAATATCAGGTCACCCTTGAGCAAAACTTATTCAAGGTGTTTCGTTCTTTTTCGTTTTTTTTTTCTTTTTTTGCCTAATTATATCTTTATAGTCCTTATAAAATAAAGACAAATAGTATACATATTAGAGAACAAAAATTAATATTTTAAGTAGAAAGGAAAAAGCACTAACTAAGCATAACAGATCAAAATTAAAGAAAGCAGGTGTGCAGAGCAAAATCTGTGTAAAGGTGTCTTTGTTAATTATCTTTTAACTCCTTTTTGTTTCCTCACGCAAACAAACCGGTTTTTGAGTTCCGTACAGCAGCCTTCCCCAACTGGGATTTATTATATTTTCTTTGAGTTTACATTTCTTCCTCGCTCACGTATTAATTTGTAGCTCCTAATGGGAACACTTTTTTTCTGTTGATGAGGATTCTAAAAATATACTTTAAGGGCGGTCTTTTCAGAGCACCTTCTATATTTTTATAACATACGAATTCACTTAAACATTTCTAAGAAATTGGAAATAAGTGGAAAATGTTTAAACTAAAAATTTTACATAATTCAAACATAAAGATTTGCTTTATGGAGGACACGTGAAAAATACTTCAAAAAAATGTTGAGCAGTAAAATAAGAATTGTTTATACAAATATTGGTGCTGAAATGTTGCCGCATTGCGAGCTTTTATGGTTATAATAGGCATCTTTTGAAGGAAACCGAATGTCGTAAAAATAATTTTATAGCTCCTAGATGTGCAATATGATTTGTGTCTCATCTCCCTTTTTCTTTTACTATCTGATACCTCTGACATAAGAAAAGTATCATTTATTCCGGAAGCCTAAGTATCTACGGTAAACTATTCGATATTATATGAACGATTTTATAAGTTATCATAACAAGTTAAGAAAACAAAGAATGGTATTTCTTAGAAATGAAAACTAAAGCGAATAAAGTAATTATCATACAATAGTCGTTGTTTGATATATTGTATATATCACACAACGTTGTATAATATATTGTATATTACAATATATTATACTATATATTACAAATAATGTACAATATATATTTCATAATATATATTGTGAAATATACGGGGTTGTTCATAATTCCCTCCGGGGGGAACTGGACATACCGTGTGACCAAGGGTTCACACATAGAACACCCGTAATGTATGTAAGTAAAACTTGAATAGTTTCGGAATAATTTCATATGTTTCTTTTTTTCATATTAGTCTTCTATTTTTTAACTATAACACATTGAAACCCCGGAGTGACTCATGAATAACCCTGTATAGTTCGCAAAAAAGAGAAGAAAAAAAACACTGACCACTCTGAATAACTTTTGGTCTAATGATCGGATCTTCTTGTTCTAAGATTCAATATTTATGATTTGAGAGGGGGACCTCAAATATGCTAATTAATTAGTGCAAACGATATTTTGAATTATGAAGTCAGACACAAAAATATACTTTCGGTAAATAAACATACCTTTTATTCGACGAATTCGGGTTTCTGACACCAGAAATAATTAGTCGCAATATGGAAAATATGGTCCCCATAGTTTGAAAGAGCGGTCCAAAGCTGGGACCTTTTAATGTTACATTTACTTTTTGCTTATTTCCCCATATCTTGAGCCACTGTTTAAGCGAATAGTAAAAATTTTGATCACAAATGTAAAATTCCTTTATCTTAAGATATTTCCTTGCAAAAAATAGATTTAAGTAAATAATTATTATTTTTTATTATTTTATTTAATAATTAGTATAAAGAATTTTGAATTGTAAGGTATACAATTTTTTACACCATCTTGAAAAATAACTTTACATGGCAAAATATAAAATTTGAGAAAAAACAATCGAGTATTTCGTGAAAAATCGAATTTTAAAAACACCACTTCTTTAAAATTTGATTCGGTCGATTTTGTTCAGATTTTGTATTCTGCGATTAAATTATTTTCATTAAAATAATGTTATTAAAAAAAATTGTATTTAAGAACATAGATTAATTTATTTAAATTTAACCGAAATATAAATTTAAGAAAAAATTGAAGTGAAACTTTTTTTTTCTTTTTAGAAATGCGAAAATTCGGATATTGTTAAAGACTGGGAAACCTTTCTTAAACTATTCGTTTCAATGCGATGCTTTGGGCAAGCATTATTAGGTAAAAAGAATTGTGTATTCTCTTCCACTAAGTCTTTCTGTTTAAGAATAAAACACAAACAAACCTTCCATTGAAAATCCATTTACTCTAAGTAAAAACAAGCATATTATACACTGTATGGCAAGAGAAGATTGTCTAAAAAGATTACGAAAACTGATAATAGACATTTTGAAACAATTTATTTGATGTTTTATAGAATCCTGAAGACATGTTTGCAACAGGGCTAATGTTTGCAATAGCTATGCGCAGAAGGCTGTCCCTTCGTAAAAAAAGCTCATTTATATCATTATGCGATGAAGATTTTTGGATAATTTTTTTTAATATTTGCGCGCTTTAGTTATTACTTGTGTAGTTTTATTTTCTTCTTAAAATTTAGTTTTTGTCTTACCATAGTAACGAACATGCTAAAAGTCACGCAATCGACTTTTGTGACAAATATGTCAATTCCATAATTGAGTGCTACATGCAGTGGTATACAGACAGGGACAGAACATGTATCCAATGAGAACATCTAATCAAAGATATTAAAACTTTTAATTTATTGTTATTTTATTATAAAATTAAATACTTGGAAGGTAAGGTGTACTAAAAGTGTCCGTGCAAAAAATGCTTCAAGTTATTTTCGTAATGTGCGCAATTAACTTTTTTGTCAAGCCCTAAATGTCAATTTCTTAAAGTGCTCAACTGACTTTTTTTTTTGTCAAGCACCAAAAGTCAATTTTGTAAAGTAAGCAAAGGGCTGCTGGTGCCAAAACTGTCAACAAATATGTCGAAAGTCAAATCCTAGATTCAGGCATAAAAAAAGCAATACACTAGTGACAAACATTTTGTGACTGTGGTTTTAAATTTATAATATAGCAAGTCTAAAAATATATTTATTACCTTTAACATCCCTTAATAATCTTTTATTATCTTTAATAATTTATTATTATACAATTAACTAACTGTATTATTTTATAGAGTTATTACATAAATATAAGAGGCTACAGAAAAATCAAGCAATATTTTACGATTACTTAATTGCACTGCATTCTTGCATTTGTTACTCTTTGAGTATTTCGAGTTTGGGTTTTTGATGGAAATCAGGTTAGTTAATTATGTATTGAAAGTTGTTCCAGTTTATATGATGGAGGTAAATTCATTGCAGCCAACATTGATGGAAGAATTTGGCCGCAGATTTAAGGATTTAAGTACGTTTGCTTTTCTTACAATATAGGGCTTTATTCCAAAGAATTGACTTCAAAAAAAAGAATTGTTATTTTTTCCTTTAGAAATACTATTAGATGCATCATGGTCATAAAAATATCAGAATTATAAAATAAAAGAATGCTCCCTTATGAAGAGATGCATATATTTCTAACGTGAAGATTTTCGAAAAGTAATTTAACGGTCGGCAGGAGGGGTGAACCCCCCTACCTAGTCCTAAAGCCAAGAACTCAAAATTAAGACCTATTGAATTGTTACAAACGGACAGTTAAGAGCATAGGAAGAAATCCATAGTTGGCGATTTATCGAAACATAAAAATAGCAACAAACGAAGCCAAACCCCCGTAATTAATATTAAATTTATAATAATTTGGCTATAGCTTAATCACAAAGAAGACCGTGAGAATTAATATAATTCTTTAACTGAAGCATTTTTGCGGTATGAAAAATAAAGAAGCTTAAGGAATAAAGAGTTTAAAATAGATTTTGACAGAGATGCCAACTTGCTCCGGACAGCAAATATATATTTTAAAGTGGTAGTTTATCACTTGCGATTCTTGGTATAATAAATTCAATTTAGTAGATTTTTATCCACCACTATTTCTAAATAATTCGTAGGCTTATATAATTCACCACTGTATAATACTTATGTCATGCTATACCTATTGAAAGGCAAGCAAAAACAGTCAAATATTTACTATATTTTCCTTGTAGTTATTTACCGTTTTTTTAATTAATTTGGCTTGTCCGGAGCAGTTGGCATCTCTGTTTTGATGTTCGATTTAGTGGCGACAGTGAAGAGTTTAACATTTGCATTGAAATACAATCCCTAGACAAATTATTCGACGCATTATGAGATTCTATGTGCAATCTTAATTATCAGACGATACTTTACAGCTTTATTGTTTTTACGCGACTGAAACCGGTTTGCACTTGTTTACGTTCGTGTATTAATTGGTAAAATTAGACGATATATAATATAAATTCAACAAACTAATAAATTAAACGATATATTATATAAATATAGAATATTTATTATATCAGGTATTATATTAATACATTATAATAATTAGACCAAATTATTAGATTCACTGTAGTGTTTTAATACTTGTATGTTTTGCACGAGTTTATGAGCAATGCTTTTATATTTAAACATACATGTAATGGGTTTTTATTCAGGAGATTTTTTATATATTTCCTATTTGTATTTATTTTTAGCGTATTGGATTACTATGTTAACCCATTGATACACGAACGTAAACCAGTGCAAACCGGTTTCAACCGCATAAAAATACGAAAGTTGTATAGTATCACTTGATAATTAAGATTTTACATAGAATCTTATAGTGCGTTTAATAATTTGGATAGGGACTGTAAATAGTTTGCTGTTACGTTGCTTGTTAAGAAGAGAATAAAATATTTATATACAGTCGAACTCGTTTATAACGAGCACAAAGGGACCGTAACATGAACTCGTTAAATCCGAGTGCTCGTAATAAACGGGGTACTTAAGACAGGCGTGCAACCAGAAGAGGGGGGGGGGGGCTTGGGGGGGCAAATGATTGAATTTACTTAAAATTTAATTAATACTTACTTTAATTACATTAATTAATTTAATCGCGTTTTTTTTTATTTCGCGCACATTTCTTATCATTTTGAAAAAAAGATAAGACAGAAAGACTAGAAAGATGAGAAAAAAGATTACAAGACGGAAAAATATTGCTCGCTAAAACCGGGTCTTGCTCGTTAAAAGCTACTTCTGTTCCATAGACTTAACATTGATCCAATCAAATATTCTCGTTTCCCTCGGTAAATCCGAGTTCTCGTTAAATCTGAGCTCGTTATAAACGAGTTCGACTGTATTTGCCTTTTTTTTTAAATGTGATAAAATTTAAATAATTAGTTTAATTTAATTAAAATTGGATTAAGTATAATTTAAAGACCTGAGTTTAAAAAAAATTAAACAAATTTTAAAAGCTAGGAAAAATGTAATGCCTATTATGTTATTACAGGGTGTTTTGGTATTCTTTAAGTACTTATAAATACTTACTAAAATAAGTCTTCCCAACGATGTATTTCATCATTCCTCTGCCTTTAAAGGGATCTTCTTCGTTTAGTAAACATTCATTCAGAGCTTTGGCGTAAACATAAACAGCGTCGTATAAATATGCACCTTCAGCTGGTACCTACATGATTGGAACATATTGTGTTAGAGCACGAACAACATTTTTATACGAAAAACATACTAAAATTTTTTTTTAAATATTCAGAACCGTAGAGGAACAACGTCCCCAACTCTTACCTTGGCACAAAAAGTAATTTTTTATCTTTAAAATAAATGAAATAATTTAATCAATTAAGAAATTAAAACAAGAATGAAAGAAAATGGTTAAATTTCGCTGGTGTCGGAAATTAAGAGAATTTGCAGACTTGATCAACAACTCTAGAACTACTAGACCGATTTTAATGAAATTTGATATGTACATACATTGATACAATGCAAAACAAATAACCATACAACAATTGTAATACGCGCGCATGATCGTACTCATATCTTTAGTTTCTTTTAAAAAAATTCATTACGAAAATTCAATTACGTGATTTCAAACTAACACGATTTCGTTTATTTCAATCATTTTTTAGTGAGAAGTACGAATTATAAAAACACTTTCTAAGATTCATTAAAACATATCCAAATTTAATAATCCCTTTACTTTATTTAACAACTTTGGATGTGTTTAAAATAAAAGGAAAACCTTCTTAGAATTTGAGAGTCAAACTTCAGAAGTTCCTTTTTTTTACTGTTCTTTTGAGCCAATGCCTATGGGCTATTTTATCTCTTTCAGAAGTAGGATTTCTGTTCATTCTAAATGTTGGGATTCTTACTGCGGATATATAGTATGAACAGATATCAAACTGACGACATTTCTGTTATGTCTTATTTTTTTCATCTGAATGTTTCAATATAAAAGTCCTTTTTCAGGAATAATTTAGATAAAACAAGTATCCATTTATTTTTGATCAATGTCTAAAAGTAAATTGTTTTTAAATGAATCATTTCTATTCTCATTTTATCAATAATCTAGTAATTAATGATGCTTTTGCTTGAATTAAAGATAAATCGTCACAGAATTAGAACAGGTGAAAGTGCAAATATGTATATATACATAAATAAATAAAACTCAAGTCTAAGCAAAATTTTATGGCTATGATATGAATGTTATTCGCAAACTTATGCGGAATTTTTTTCTAATGGGCAATTATGCGGAATTTTATTTTATAACGGTCGCAAAACAGCTGAAAAAAATCACAAAACTATTATTAACGCCAATAATCCTTAACTAATTTTGGTAATAGGTAGTAATTTTATAATTTTATTTTATAACCGACGGTCGAACTGCCCACCCAATTGTTTGGTTTACCCAATCCAGAAGACAAGGGAACTGCTGGATCAAATATTGGAAGAAATTTGCCTTCGTGGTAGACTTTTTGATCGAAATAAAACGTATTTGCGTTATATGGTGAGGAAAACCACGAAAACCTCCCACGGTTAGCCTGACGGCAAGGGGACTCTAACCCAAGATCCGTCTATCACTGAGGATATTTTGCATCAACACTGTGGTCGGTGCAATCCGGATGCGGAATTCGTATCTTCCAGACATCGCTGGGATTCGAACCAGCTTCGCCTCATTGGAATGCGAACGCTGTATCCTATGAACAATCACTACTGACTCATGCTCGTGAAACAGTGACATTTGCATTCCCAGTTTATTTGTCTTGTTGTCTTGTATTAGCTAAAAAGTTTCTCAGAGCTCCTCTGCATGACAAGGTGTAAGAAGACTGATTTTTCCCCGTAGACTTCTGTGACTTAAACGTATGAAATCTAGTAAAATGTTGTCACCAGTGGTCAGAAGAAAGGCACTACAAGTAGTGAAACTACTGTATTCGCTACTGTTTTTCGTAGTTTGTAGTGTAATGTGTTACTTTTTTTTTTAAAAAAAAAAAAGTAGTGTATGGAGTAGTGCGATACAAAAAACAGCAGTTTGTAGCGATTTCGGCCAACTACTTTTTACTTTAGTTCAGTGTATGAACAGTCTATATAACTAATATTTAAGCTAGCCATTATGAATAATAGATAATTTATCACTTTGGTTACACTTTCACACGCGAATGTGCACTCAGTGATGATATTTCAAAGGAAGAAAACGTATTTTCGACGTACTTAATTTCTTAGATCAAATAAAAGAGCATTAAGCACTTAACGAAATTACAAGTATTTGATAATTTCCTAGCATCTTTTTAAATTTAATTATTCACTGCCAAGAATAGCATAAAAAGTTGAAGATTAAATAAACAAATTCGTAAAAAAATGTTTTAGAATAACCAACTGGCTTATATAAACATGAATAAATATTTCTAAATAATTCTTCATGTTCTATGTAAGCCAACTTTTCCATTTCAAACCATATTGAAAGTACTGTGTAAAATAATTTCTCCAGCAAAGGTTGGTTCCTGTGGATGTGAGGTAGTCTCTACTTTTCGAAAGTGGTTTGTAGTGACTATATTTAAAAAAAAGGTAGTTGTGGTTAACTACATTTATATCAAAGTAGCTGTAGTAGTTGTAAACTACAAAAATAATGTAGTTTTTCCGACCACTGGTTATTACAAATGTTTAAACATGTGTGGAAACTAAATAGAAAAAAGAACGTGTAAGGAATTTAAAAAAAAGTCTTAAAGTTTTAGTTTTTGTTATAAATCTGTTATGGTTTATATTTTATAAGAAATAGGATTTTCTTCCTGACCAGCCCGTGTATACAGTATTCTTCTGAGTCATTTGTTGAGCGTACGAAGCCCCGATTCTTTCAATGGATTAACCGAAACTTCGAACAAAATAAAAACCTTAAATTTGAGGCTAAATTGCTTCCTAGATTTTTTGAGTAAAGTTCTTGATAAAGGAAGTCACAAAACACTTACGATTCTTTCAATACTTTTTTTAAGAGTTAAAATTTTTTTTTTTGATAAATCAATAAAGTTTTTTCCCTATAGCCTAGACCAGGGGTGGCGAACCTTTATACACCAACGTGCCATTTTTTCCAAAAAATTGTTTAATGAGGTCATAGACGTGCCGTCAAATAATTTTGACTTCGTGATTATTGGGAAAATAATAATACTAAATACTATCAACTCAAAAATCTTTATTTACATAAAAAAAAAATACATTTTGCAATGTCTCAGTTATACGCGTAATTCAACTTAAAGTAACATCAGTGTGACTTCTGTTGTTGCAGATTAGATGACAAATAACTTATATTAGAGTTATAAGATGTTAGTTTAAGCAAAACTGTTAATTATTTTGCTAGTTATTTATTGTTAGCTTGGTTTTTTATGGTTATTAATTGCTTTTTTGGCCTTAATTGTTCAGTTTTTTGTGAATTTTAATTTAATTGTTATTATGCTTCATATCGGAACTTCGTGATCGGTAGCGTGCCCAAAATATTGCGTCGCGTGCCATAAATGGCACGCGTGCCATTGGTTCGCCATCCCTGGCCTAGACAAACTAAAATCATATTGTATTTTCATGGAAATTAATCATCAGGAACTTAATAATTAGAAATATTAATATGAAAATCCATTCATTTTGTCATAAATGAAATATCTCACTTTTAAAAAAAATATTTTTCTTTAAAAAGGAAATTACAAAAAAAATTTCATCAAATAATTAGACATTAAGAAAGTTAATGTAAATATTATTATTTAAGAAAATAATTTCTTAAAAATTAGCAAAATATTTAAAAATAACTAAATTTTAAAAAATAATTTAATATTTTTAAACAATTACAAAATATTGCGAAAATATTTTGTACCCTTTTCATTCCACCTAATCTGCTGACAGGATTGGGAAAACTGAAAGGTGGAAGTTGCATGTATTTATTAACTTTAACCGTAAAATCTTCAAATCCAACTGGAGGGGATCCAACCACTCCAAGATAAGATTGAAATGCCTTTTTGGCTACTTCTTCTATTTCATCTCTAAGCAATCCTAAAAAAAAAGAAAGAAATATTCTAAGAACAAACCCTGAGGAAATTGAACAAAATTGGTTCTTGTATCAATCTTTTAAAATAGTGAATAAAGCATGAATGCAATAGAGAAAAAATGTGGTTTTGCAATTAAAGAAAAAAAGAGAAGTAAATGTCTAACATCTCAGCAATGTCGAGACGAAATAATGTCTAGATGAAATAAGTTTTAATGAAGAAAAAAAATTAGTTGTTATATTCATGGAAAAAAATTTGTTTTAATTATCGGATAAGATAGAAAACTATGTATAGATAAAGTAAAAGACGGTTTAAGTTTAAAATTTCTACGGTCATTTTAGAAAATATGGAAAATGAATCTAAATAATTACTTCGAAACTAAATTTCTAGTACTAAAAAAGCATAGAAGTAGTCTAAATAAATACTTACGTATAAGTAATTATACAATATAAACACGTTATATTTACATTAAAAAAATTATTAATTATCGGATAAGATAGAAAACTATGTATAGATAAGATAAAAGACCGTTGATGTTTAAACTTTCTATGGTCATTTTAGATAAAATCGAAAAGAAATCTAAATATTTACTCCGAAACTAAGTTTTTACTTCTATGAAAATGTAGAAGTATTCTAAATAAATACTTATGTATAACTAACTATTCAATATAAACACGTTATATTCACGGAAAAAAAGTTTGTCCTAATTATCAGATAAGATAGAAAACTGTGTATAGATAAGATAGAAGACCGTTTATATTTAAAATTTCTACGGATATTTTAGAAGATATGGAAAATAAATCTAAATAATTGCGTCGAAACTGATTTTTTACTTCCAAAAAAGTACAAAATTATTCTAAATAAATACTTAGTTATACTAGTTTAAACTAGTTAAATAAATTATACTAGTTAAACTAAATGGTTAGTTATACTACGTATAACTAACTATTCAACACTACTTAAATTATTTCTTAAGACAACTTAACCAAATGAATTATTATAGATGTCTGTAGTGATTCTAATTTAGGAAGAGAAACACCCGCTTTTTTGGTGTCACATAAAAGAAATGAAGATGTAAATAACAAAAGTAATATACCAACTTGGCGAGCTTACAAAATTTGTTGCCAAACCATTAAATTACGATAAGTGCTCAAAATGCAGTTTTGAACAATAATTGTAAGAAAAAAATCACCATAAAATTAAGATAATTTAGATAAATGAAGTAACCGCTGGTTGTGTATTGACTGATGATGAATTTTTCAAATCAGACTTTTTTCGTGAGCGAAAATTCGGGTATCCCCCTTGTTAGCTTGTAAAAATCCGAAACAAAATTCAAAAATTATTCAGTGTACAATGTATCTATTATTATGCTTATAAGTGAACAATAATATACGCTCTTGGGAAGTAATTCTACAATAATATGTTTTCATTTTCAAATTTTAACAACAAAAAAAGAGCAGCTTTTGAAACTTTATTGTATACACTAATTCAGCCGAACTCACTTTTTCTTAAATTTACTTTTTTTCTAAACTTTAAACAAGGTTAAGTAGAATTCACGATGAAGAACTTCTCTCACGATATAAGGGTCCTCTTGTCGCGAGTCCTCTCAAGGATTTATCTAATATCTATACACTGTTGCAAGTTAAGAAAAACCATTAACTCTATGGAAAGAACCTTGCATCCTAGTGCTCGCCAAATGGATGCCAAGCTCCCAACGCGAATGCATATCAACATCGCCAACTCTTGAAACGACGTTACACAGCCTTCTTTCCGCTTGATTTCTTAAAATGGAAGAAATGAAGAAAACGAAACATATTGTATAATCAGCTAACAAGTAATAAGAATTAATAAAAATGATATCTAAAAATCGTAAAAAATATGCGTCTTTCTATTTAAAAAAAAACTGATAAAAGAATAATAAGCATTGTTCCTTGCAGACAATTTTCTTCTACAGCAAAATGAAAGCAAAAATTCTTTATCTCGCATTTGATTTGTTAAGGGCGTGGCAGTATTGAACGCGCCATTTTTTGTCGTCCAATCAAATCCAATGTTGTTGTAATGTCCTATAGTTGTTTCTTTTCAAGAACGAATGTTCTCCGTATTTATCGAAACATGTCACCAAGTCTAGGATTCCAGTAAGACTACGAAACTATAACCTTCTTTTAGTGATTCTATGGTGTATGTCGTAAAAGATAGCACGAATTAAATTTCTGTCTGAATTTTCACTTTTAAAAGATTTTATATTGTTTTGAAAGCGTATTTGTATAATTTGATAACGAAATAAAATGGAACTATTTGCAGTTGTGGAAGATTATTTAAATCCTGAACCGAAATGACCCTTTCTTAACTTGCAACGGAGTATAGGATAATAATTCTATTTCACCCTTGTGGGCTGTATATATTAATAATGCAGATGTTCAATTTACCTTTAAGATATCGATGTGGATTTTGTACTTCATATTGCTCGATGTCAACACCGATGACATAATAATCTCCGCTGTCCAGTAATCCCTTTCTTTCCATACTCACCATCAAACCCAGGTGTTCAAAGTAATATCCAAGCACAACAAATACTGCAATAAATACATTCTTTTTTTATTTTTACAAAACACTGTAAAATACTATAGGTATATAAACCCCTTTTAGTACATAAGACAACGACTTTAATCATTGTCGTTTAATATTTTATGAAGATCGTATCACTGTAGAGACTATTAGTGCTGATAATCGCTGATATAGCTGGTGAATGAAGAGAGGAAGAAATGACAATACTGAATGAATCAGCAAATAAGCGGCATTCACTGATTCATTCATCTGATTTGTGGTGTCTATGATATTTTTTGCATAAACGTAGCTATATTTCGCTGATACGGCACACAGTTTTATCCTCTAAGGTTGTTTTTCGAAAGCTTTTGTCGTCTGCTATTTCGAAAATGACGCTAAACATCAATAGGAAGAAAGACTGCAGTTTTGTAAAAACAGCAGTTGAGATATATTTTTAAAAGTTACTCATTATCTGGACTAATAGGCTCAGCAAGTTGATTAGCGTTATTGTAATAGTTAATTATAACCCAATAATTAAATGAGCCGCCATGGTTCAGGGGATAGAAAGTTCGCCTTCCAACGAGGCGAACCGGGTTCTAATCCCAGCAATGGCTGGAGATACGCATCCGGCTTGCACCAACCACAGTGCTGACGTGAAATATCCTCAGTGGTAGACGGATCATGGGTTAGACTCCCTTTGCCATCAGGCTAACCGTGGGTTGTTCTCGTGAACTTCCTCACCTTGTTACGCGAATGCGGGTTAATTCCATCAAAAAGTCCTCCACGAAAGCAAATTTCTCCTAATACTTGATCCAGGCGTCCCCTTGTCTTCTGGATTGGGTTCAAGATTGCAAGGCTACGGAGTTGAACATTAGTAGTCGTAAACCCAAAAATTTGGTCGGCTGTTCAAAGATAGTAATGAAATAAAATAATAATTAAGTGATTATTAATAAAGTTTGATAACTTTGAAAACATTTAATTTATTTTCCATTAATAAGTGAAGATAATTATTCACATGATGGTACATGAAACTGTAGTTTTACCCTGTTTAGTGTAAGTAAGGTAACTGTAGTTTAGTGTAAGTAAGGTATTTGAACTATAAGAGTCGTCTTAGCAAAATAGGGTTTCAAAACACCTCGCTTAATGTGGGAGTGATAATGCACTTGTTAGCAATAGTAATCCTTAGTCTTAAAAAAAAACGCGAACAAAAAATCTTTCAGCATTCAGTCACTTGGTCTGGGCGGCAAAACGGAAATTTACATGACCAGAAAATGACACACCAATGTTCAAAATATTGATCTCTGATGAAATCGCAATGTTTTTCGTATACTTTATTTTTAATAACTCTAAACTATCAGTTATCATTTTTGTTTCGTTGGACTAAAGTGCAAAATTAAATATTTATGAGAATATTAATATACTCTTTAGTAGAATGTACAAATATTGCTTGAACTATAATAGATTCCGGAAAACTTAGATCATGGTCCATGCAGAAAATAGAGTTAATGCAGAGTTGAATTAATGGGTCAAACTTCAAGAGGTGGTAGGTTACATCACGAGAATTATACAGCTACCCATGACAGAAAATGTCCTCATACGCCGTTAGGGAAACCCATCCATTACGGACAGGCAGTGAATGCGCATTTGAACTTGCACTATTATTGATCTAATCTATTTTAATTTTATGTTACTTTTATATTTTCTAGCAATTTTTGTAGAGAATTTGATTTAAATGGATTCAGAAATGTTTCTTTTTATCAATATTTAAATATTTAGCAGTCCACTTGCCAAGTTCATCTAGTACAATACGATTAAACAGCTGTTTTTGAGCCCATTTGAATACAATTTTTATTTTATTTATTTTCTGAATTTTTTTATAATTGTCGTGGAGCGTCCGACTCAATTTTTGGATTTACCACGGCTATTCTGACGGCAAAGGGACTCTAACCCATGATCCGTCTACCTTTGAGGATGTTTTATACGTGAGCTCTGTGGTCGGTGCGAGCCGGGTGCGGAATTCGTATAAATCAGCCGTCGCTGGGGTTGGAACCTAGTTTCCCTCTTTGGAAAGCGAACGCTCTATCCCCTGAGTTATCACGGCTCGATTTTTTCTTGTTGATGATTTTTATTAGAAAATATAAAATTAATATAATTAGTTCCAGTTCAAATGCGCACATGCGGCGAGTAAGCGTCCGTAGTGTCGTTCGATACCTCTTTAGTCATCGGTACCCTTAAAGCATGAATTCAGAGAGAGGCATAATTAAAAAGTATATTTACTTCTTGCATTCATATAAGACTCTTCGACAAGCGAATCGAATGGATTATCTCCGTATCCATAGTGATATGTTTCTGGCCACGTGCCCAGGTATCGAACTTCAATCCCTACTCCTTCGAATGTTTTGATGATGGTCCTGGATACTTCTCGAAAATTTCTGTCCTGTGTACTGGAGTAAAGGAAAGCAACTTTCATCCAACCGAAAGAGAGTAAAAGGGATGCCACGGACTTTGATATTTGAGTATCGGGTGGACGAGTTCTTGCAAACGTCGGATATAAATCTTTATTGGAGGTTTCATGGTGAGCACAAAACTGTAAAAAAAAATACTGTAGTTAAACATTTTGAGTATAAATACCAGTATTTTTATTTTTTGACTATGGCAAACCTATTATAAACAGCAAACATTTGATACTAATATTATTCTCATACTACTTTAAAACAGGTGTAGAGTTTAAGTGACCAGAGAGTGTACAAATTTTCAGTGCTCTGTTTACTTGTCTATATTAGATATTTAAAAAAACGTTTACAAAGTGAATATAAATGAAAAACTATAATACAGAGAATGCCAACCAGGTGGCTGGCCGAGCGGTCAACGTGCCTGTCTGTGAAGCCAATGGTTGCGGGTTCGAATTCCGCTCAGCGCATGGATGTTTCTTTCCATGTATTATTGCCTCGCAGTGGACTGATCGCAAAGACAAGATTCCCAGTAGAACACCGAATTCAAGCATCACTGGGTACGGTCAGTAAGCGGGTGGGTGACCACTTTGACCAGCCTGGTAAGGGACCTAGGGTGTGCGGTACCGATCCTCGTTAAATTGTTCTACCTAATTGGAAAGTGCTCGAGTTCACGCGCAGGTTGTCGGGCTACCAAATCAGGGGAGCCATCCCCTCTGCAGAGGATCGAAATTGCGATGGCATGGCTTCGGATCCTCCTCAGGGATGTTTCCCAGACCGTCGCCAATAGCCCATTGTGCAGCTCTAATGCGACGTAAATAGAGTATCTACCTACCTTCTAGGCATTGTTCTGTAATGTGTTAATGTGGAACACTCTATAAACGGGTATCTGTGGCGTGGGTAATGTTGCTCGCGTCCGTGGCCTAGGTTCACAGGTGCCCACTGGGTAACGTGAAATGACTAAGACTTTCGGCATCTTCCGAGAAGAGAACGTTAAAAAAATAATACTAGTACCGAGAATGTGTAATACTCACAATTATGATAATATGAGCTATTTTGTCACAAAAAAAATTGAGCACTAAATACACATACAAAAAACGTTTGTCGCTTAAAGTTCACGTAAACTAAAAGCTATATTCTCCAAGACAATCAGATAAATAATAATCGTATGTACATAGTACCCAAGATAAATAATGCACAAGGTATTTTGGTAGATGACCAGTAAATAATGACAGTTTGCCAAAAGTCCAGTAAATCATTTATAGGCATTTTCCCAGAAGTTATTGTTTTTTGCTCTCGTCGATCGCAATTTACTACTGATGCCTATCATTAGACTTTCATGAAACAGGTATCTGAATAGGCTTATAAACTTCATACTTAGTTTAAGTTTTTAAAAAAATCATGACATTAGTAGGCTATAAAAATTTCCGAAATAAATAATAGTAAAAAGTACTGCGTGCAGCATCCGTAAAATCCATTTTTACCGTACAATTTTATTCCTTAATTTTTACAGTAATATTTACTTAATTACAATGGTTTTTCAGTAAATATTACTGTAAAAATAACAGTAAATCAGTGTTTTGTTCCGTAAAATTTTATGGTAAAAATGAATTTTACGGTAAAAAGTACTGCCACCATGAGTGCCGGTATTTTTTACTGTAATTTTTTACGGTGTATCTACGGAGCAATTTGAAACCTCTATGACCTCTACAATGCCAAAGAAAAACACAAAAAAATAAGCTGATTTTAGCTGTTTTTATGTAGGGTCTGAATGTGATTGGATTTAATCTTACAGTTAAAAAATATTCCCTTTCTTGCACTAATCGATAACAGTAGGCTATTTGGTACAAAATATTTTGCAAGCCAATATTTGAAATTTTTTAGGTTTGTTGAAATCAGGATAAATACGTTTAGAATAATCAGCAGTTGTTCGAAGAATCACTTCAGGCAATGTACTTTTATAATATACCATTACTACTCCAAGTTTTTTTTACAAACTGCCTGAAATCAGCCTATATGCATTTGGGGTCACTGTAATAAGCCTAAAAAGTGTCAAGCTAAATAAATAAATGCTAAAAAATCTTCCAATTAGCTTGGTTCTCTGCAAAATAACAGTAATTTACAAGGACCTGAATAATTCGATTAGCTTACGAATGATAACCTAATGCTAATTATATGAATTATGAAAGATAATGTAATTATTTAAAACTATTTACTAATGTTTTATTTTTCTAAATAATTTCAACAATGATTTCTATCGCTTTACATAATTTTGAAGATACTATGTATGAAAAATTAAGAATAACATCTAAATCTATTGTTTTAGAAAATAAGATAAAGCCTCTAGATTATATTACCACTGTTAAACAAAGTTCTTAATTTATAAAACTCTTGTCCGGCCAGTCTTGACATACGCTTCTGAAGCTTGGACAATAACAAAACTGCAGGACAATATTACAATATTTGAGAGAAAGATTTTGCGGAGTATACTAGTTGGTGTAAATGAAAACAATAACTGGAGAAGGAGATTTAACTTTGAACTGTACAAGATTTATAAACAACCTGATATTATTAAATACATAAAAATAAATAGAATGAATTGGATGACCCACGTGATTTGAATGAGTGATGACAATACAATAAAATAACTGCTTTTTAGACCCACTGGAACAAGAAGGCGGGGAAGGAGGCGGTTGAGCTGGGCTGAGTGGGTGGAGTCTGATTTTCTTGTAATTCATGAAAAGAATTGAAGATTAAAAATTAGTCGGAAGTCGTTATGGAGAAATCTTCAGAAGAAGGCATTGGCCCACATTGGGTTGTCTGGCCAACTTTGATGATGATGTTAAATTATACTTTAATCATGTTTTTTTAATTTTATTTAATGGAACTGGCATACAAAAAGAGGATGAAACAATTCCCGGAGGCAGATTTTTCTCTAAACTTGAATAAAGAATCCTACTTTAAAAAAAAGGGAGAGAATATATTCTTGAAATCATAACCAAATATAAATAAGGTTCCCAGAACTCGTTGGTTTGTTTGATGTCTCAGATTTCCCTTTCAGTTATTTCTGCTTTGATTCAATTCCTAAGGGAAAAACGCTATTCATTCGTGATCAGGCTTAAGTACATAGTTTACCTATTTTTTTTTCCTTTCAAGAATATCATCTGAGCATTTAAAACTGAACATTTTATTTATTTATGTTTATCGCAATCTATCAAGAGATGCAGAAAAAATATCTAATACCAATTTATCTATTGATGGAAGCATGTAATAAATATTAAACGAATTATTTCTAGATAATTTATTTTGTTGGGAAAGTAANATATATATATATAGGTATAACAATCGTTGAACAGTCGACCCAATTTTTTGGGTTTAGGACTACTAGTGTTCAACTCCGTAGCCTTGTAATTCTTGAACCCAATCCAGAAGACAAGGGAACTCTTCGATCAAGAATTGGGCGAAATAAGCCTTCGTGGAAGACTTTTTTGATAGAACTAACCGGCATTTGCGTTACATGGAGAGGAAGACCACGAGAACCTCCTGACGGCGAAGGGACCCTAACCCATGATCCGTCTACCACTCAGAATATTTCACGTCAGCACTGTGGTCGGTGCAAGCCGGATGCGGATTCGTTTCGATCAGCCATCGCTGGGTATTCGAACCTGGTTCACGTCATTGGAAGGCGAACGCTCTATCCCCTGCACCATCTCGGCTCAATAAAAATATTTTGTAATCAATCATATTCAAATGAAATTACCAAGCTAAATATATCAAAGTGAATTAAAACTTAATGTATCAGAGTTAAGTTAATTATGCCTTAAAATTGATTTTCATTTTAATTTGTTCTTCTGTTAAAATATTTGAAAATTCAATGCGGAGAATGTGTTATATACTATTCAAAGCTCAGCCCCGTCCCGCCCCCTAGCGGGGGCATCCGGGGTGAAAATTTATTGATCAACAAAAGGATACAAAACAATTTCCAATTTGAAAACAAAAGAAGATGAGAATTTACAATGATAAAAAATGATTTAAAATGATATACTAGCAAAAAAAATTTTATTCGTATTATATGTAAGAGGAGGAATAAAATTTTCTTTTACTATAATTATATTCTAGTATAATTATACAGATAATGCTAAAATTATATTAAAACACTGTTTAATCATGAAGCTTAAAAACGTTTCATTAACAGAGTTAATAGTATTAAATCTAATATGAAATAGAGATTTACAAAGAGTTTCTTACAAAGGGTATGTGGGAAGTGTTGTTATCGACAATGTCAACCTTCATCCATGAAAAATATGGATGTTAACTTCATAGAATGGAGTTAACGTGTCTGATATACTAGTGAATTGAAATTATATTTTTTGTAGTGGTAGATACACTGCAGAGTATTTTCGGTTTGTACTAGTATTTTCTAGACATTTGTTTATAGCAGTTAGTAGTGGTAAAAAAAAGTATTATGTAACATTTTAGTGACATTAAAGACATAGAGGCTCCGTTTACAAACTAAAATTATCTATTGAAAATCGCTCAGTCTGCATTGTGGGTACGGGGTGGGGTTTAATTTTTCGTACTGAAGGTTTTGGAGGTACTGAGCAAAAGTCTCAAAAATTACAAAACTATTAACCAAAAGTTTTTTTATTGAGAAAAGAAAATCATTAAAAATTGGAAAATCAGCAATCCAGGTGCAATATACCAATTACCGTCTACTTTCTTGTTATATTTTGTATCTGCATAATAAAATGTTGTGACCGATACGCATTCAAATACATCAAATGCTGTGATATTTTTCTTTTAAACCTATAAATTCTTTAAAGACCCTAGCATAAAGCGCCTGCAGGCCAATTTGTACTTAAACCAGCTCCTTACGGAGTGCTCGGAACCTATCAAAATTTTTTTTTTTTTAATTGTCACAATTTGTAGTTAATTCACTTTTAACTGATCACCACCACTCTCATTTGGCAAACTTTTACTGTATTTTAAGTTTTTAGCGTAATTTTTTAATGTAATAATTTAACTTTTTATCTCCGTATACCCCCCTGGGGTGAGTCGGAGTTCAACCTATCTTATATTACAACCGTCGTTGAACAGCCGACCCAATTTTGGGTTTACGACTACTAAGGTTCAACTC